ATAAATAAATGGCTTCACAAAGAAAGGAAGAAATACACTGAATGTGTTAACTATGAAAAATGAATAAATTCTAAAAAGTTTACATGAGATTTTGAAATTGTTTTTCTTTGGTTTAGACATCAACGCATGTACAGACATGTGCACACTGCCGTAATGCCAGTAAATGTGTTTATATGCTAGGAGAAATCAGGGAAATTAAATCACAGTGGGTGTGTGTGTGTTATGACCTTGCAAACTGTAAAGTTATTTAGCATAATTAGTGTAAGACTGTGCATGTCAACACACGTTTACTGACCTGATTCCATATCTGATGAAAACAAAATGCTATTTCAAAAAATTACTGGTCTTTTGTGAAAAAAAAAGTTCACGAGTATTCTTAAAGTAATAGTTATGTCACATTCCAGACTGATGCATGCAAGAACCAATGTCATTTTGGTAAAAAATGATGTCAAACCTGGCATGATACAGTTTAAGATTTTAGAGCTTTGATGGAGAGTGAGGTTATCAGTGAATAATGATTTAAATGTAGGTATATTCTTCACCAGAAGTATAAAAGACTTCAGAGGGCTTAGAATATAGCATTTGAGTTTAGGAGGTTAACAGGAGTGGTTATTAAGAATTGTCACCAGATGGAGTTGCATTAAAAGTTACCACTCAAGATAAGCATTGAGACCTTCTGGTTTTGAGATGCCTGGTTTAATTCCCTTCAATCAACAGAAAATTAACAGATAAAAAAGACGTGTGGAATAGAAGTCATGACCCATGACTGGGCCCTGTACATTATGTTTAGAATCTTTATCTCACTTCTGGTCAATATGCCAAAATATGTCTGATTAGCATTTTGCATTTGAACATTCTCGTCCATTCATTGCAGGAGCTTATTTTGAGCTAAAAAAAAAATAAAATAAATCAAAGCAATGTGCTTATTGAAACCTCTGCGAAGTAAATGAGGCACAGAGGTGAGAGCGCATTTGCTTTGGCTGCAAGGTCATTGCTCAGACTAGGAGGCGAGGTAATTTATACTAACAGGCACTGAATAAACTCCTCTGACCACAGAAATAATGCAGACAAGCTCAGGAAGTCATTTATTGTACAGTCCTTTAAAATAAAGTTGAAGTGGTCCTCTTTTTTTAATTTGTGGAGAAAACCTTTGAAATGAGGCATGTGAATTGTTGGTATAACTTAAAAGAAATATAATTATGGACATAAAATATACAACTCTTCTCGGCTTGGTCATTTCATTTAGACATTTAGTTAATCGACTATACTCTTTTTAGCCGATATTATGTGTTTTATACAATATTATAATTGCAGTTGTGCTGGTGTAAAAAAGATTGTTTGTAGGTTGTAATAGGCTTTTTTTTGTTCGTTATTGTTAGTCAGTAATTATCACACATAAAAATCCAACAGGATGATCTGAATGTTGCTGATTCAAGTCACACGAGGAACCAACATCATCATCATGGATCATCATTGCCCTTGAATAAGCACTTAGTGCTAGTGTGGCTGTTGTTTTTGCAAGTTATTCAAAGTGAGTTTGCAAATGTTTGCTAAATTAGTTTATTTATTTTTTATTTAATTTTTATTATTATTATTATTTACAATCATTGCTTACAATCATTGTATTTAACTGAACAAATTTCAGTTACAAAGATGCCAGTGCCTTTCAACTCTTTTGACCCACATCTTTTAAAATACACTCTATCTTCATTTTATTCATGATATTGTAAATTCAAAAAGATAATAGTTAAATATTTCAAAGCCAGAACTGAAATTCTATGTAACATTCCGCTTTTCAAACCAAGCCTGGCAGCATGGTCTCCAAAAGCAACAGTTTGGGAGGATTTGGTGATCTGAAATCCGCTGTGCTGTTTGTTTGCTGTGATGATGTACTGATTGGTTAATTGTAGTGAACATACTGGTGAACAGTAGTGAAATTAGCAAGTGTCCGTTGTCTGTCTGGCAGATGGCAGGTTTATTCATCTAGCGGCCTTTTTCCAAAGGTGCTTAAACTGATAGTGTGGAAAGATTTGTGCAGTTTTTCCCTGGAGTGGCACTTCAGTACTACTCCACACTTAACATGTTGGTAATACCCTGCAGTGAACTTATGAACAGAGCAATCGTCATTGTGCCATGAAAATCCCAATTTTTGTCAAACCCCAAACAAGCTGAGAGACAGGATCTCTTTCTCAAGAACTGCCAGAACATAGCTCAGAAGTGATGCCACAGAAATGTGTCAAAAAAGAGAGATTAAACAAATTTACAAAGGGGACAATTTAGTTGATTCAATGGCCAACACCTGGCT